TTTCATCTTTCCAGAAAGAGTAAGGGAAAAGGAAAACAAAAGCTAAGACTGAAAGGCAAATATCTGAGATTCCCTGAATGGCAAACAGCAAGTTCTCTGAAAAGTGCAACTCAGATAAGCATGGAATGCACACCAACGACCTGCACAGCATTCAAAGCTCTGTTCCCCCAGAGCTCCTTCTACAGAGAAATGGGGCTAATATATGCTATTCTTCTAAGAAAGCTTTTTCTGGAAGTTACTTGGAAATATATAGTAAAAAGCTCTTTTTTAATCATTGTTTTGCTTATTAATACCTTTAGTTATCACTCAATGAGTTTCAAGTCTAACATTTACATCATTATATCTTGATTATGTTCATCCGCCACTACCCATTTTCATCCTTCCTCTCCTACAGTTGCTCCCTCTCCTCTACCCAACCAGTCCCTTTCTGTGTGTGTAGATTTTGCATATAAAATAAAACATGCACAACATCTCTCTTCCTACTTGTTTTCAGCCTGGCTAGCCTGGAACTCACTATGTAGCCCAAGCTGTCTTCATCCCCCGGTGCTGCATTATAGGCATGTGCTACATGATGAGCTTATTATTGTTATTTATTTTTAGTGTGGTAAAAGTTTTCTTATAGCCTTTAATCAAATATAGTTGCGGATTATTTTCAGTTATGTCTTAAAATTTACATCCACATCTTTCATCATATAACTTTGCAAGGCCTGGCCACAAGGTTTAATCTGATGCCAACAGAATCTCTGCATGAATTTTGGTAGTTTGGCCTTGTACTCTGGTGATAAACTGTGAAATAAATGTGCCTAGGAATACTTCATGCTAGGCCTCAGAATAAATACATTAAGGTAAATATAAGCATTCCTACAATCATGAAAGCAGGCCCAGCCAACCCAAAAACAGAAGCCTATCTTTCTAACCAAAGCCAGCCTGGATCAAGAAAACTCTAAGTGATCTGTAGATCTAGTGTGAAAATAAGCACATAAGTCACTCAGCAAAACTAGTTTGTTATATAGAACTGTTATGGTAAGAGCTGATCAATATATCCAGTACACATCTAGGAATTTATCTAAGGCAATCAGCAAAACAGTTTTACATAAAAAGGTACTAATCATAAAAATATTCATAATAGGGAAAACAACTATCATCAATAGGGAAACAGTCTTATATTATGAATAGACAAATATTTGAAGCTGTGAAAAATCATGTTTTACAAGAACATGCAAAGATAGGAGTGATAAGGCACACCTTTGATCCCACCACTCAGGAGGCAAAGGTAGGTAAACCTGAACTCAAGGCCTATCTGGTCTACAAAGTAAATACCTGGCCAGCCTACAGGGCAGTGTTGGAAAACCCTGTCTCCAAAACAAATAAAAAAGAACACTAAAAAAAAAAAATCAAGAAAATGTTCCTAGTACATTAAATCTAAATGCTCTTTAAAATTTAAAAAAAAAGTAAGTGTAAGTAGAGAAGATGAGTCAGATAAAATTTGTTCAAGAAATGTAAAAGGACCAAAAAATGGCTAAGAGGGTAAAGACACCTTCAGCCAAGCCTAACAACCTGAGTTTGATCGCTGGAACTCACAAAGTAGTAAAAACCACACCTGCAAGGTGTCTAACCTCTGCACACACACACGATGGCATGGGTGTACCTCTCTTCAAATAAATAAAGATGATAAATATTACAGGAAATGTTATACTAGGGATAAAGAAGGAGATGAAAACAATTCCCTGTTTTTTAAGTTTTTATTTATTCTTCTATCACACAATACATCTTGACCACAGGTTCTACTCCCTCCATTCCTCCCAACTCTCTACACACACACACACACACACACACACACACACACACACACCTCTCCTTTCCCCACTTTCCCCATCTCCCTGCAGAAAAGAGCAGGACTTCCAGGGACATCATAACACAGCATAACAAGACACAACAAAACCAGGCACAAACCTTCACATCAAGGCAACCCTCACAAGCAACCCCACAGGAGAAAGTGTCCTAAGAGCAGGCAAAAAGAATCAGAAACACCCTCACTCCACTGTCAGGACCCTGTCTTCTTGAAACCATCTAGTAAGACATTTTAAAAATAGTAATTATAAGTAGATATGTGATCACAAACTGGGATATGCCATGGTGGTACAAACTGTATTTAGCTGCAGTATAGAGTGCCTAAATTTATCTGGCCACAGCTTCCAGAAATAAACTACACTTCCCAGTCTTCCCTGCCACTAGGGAAGTCATGTGACTAAGTTCAAATCAAAGATATTTAACTGGAGAGGTACAGAAAGCTCCCAGTAAACATCCTCTTAAAAAAAAGGGCTCCCTCTCTGTTGATCCCCCCTTCTCAGCAGATGGAGCTGCTATTTTGGACTCTGAAGTGAAACTTCATGCTGAGAATGGCACAGCAACAGAACAGGAGGTGCCTGGGTCGCTGACACTGTGTAGATCCTCTTTCCAGCCTAGTCCACTACAGAGCTTCAGGATGACAGACAGTAGAAGCATGCCTGTTGAAGCCATCTAAGTGGGAGTTTCAGCCATTCACAGACAAACTTAATTGCAAATGGCATTAACCATAAAGAAAGATAGAGGTTTCAATGAGATTAGGAGTGGAGAAAGAGGCTTCAGGGTTGGCTTCAGAGGAAATAACAACTTTCAGCAGTGAGGTGAAGCCAGAGAGGTAGGCTGGCAAACTGAGGCAGGGAAAACCAACTTGAATGAATATCAACTTCAGCCTAAATTCTCCTAGGACAAAAGATACACTTTGGAAAGTCAAGACTGCCTGTTGGGCTAGGGGTGTAGTGTGGTTACAACAGTGCATTTGCTTAACATGCACAAAGCCCTGGGTTCCATCTCTAGAACTGTCAGGAGAAAAGAAAGAAAGAAAGAAAGAAAGAAAGAAAGAAAGAAAGAAAGAAAGAAAGGAAGGAAGGAAGGAAGGAAGGAAGGAAGGAAGGAAGGAAGGAAGGAAGGAAGGAAGAAAGAGATTGTTTCTACCAGAAATGAGAATTAAAGCAGAACACTAAAGCAACTGAGCATTTTGGCTCTGGAATCAGAATATCTTGATTCTGCCACGGGCCACATACTGCCTGTCAGATATAAACAGTAGTGGGGGGAGTACAGAATGAGAGTGAATCCTGTTAAGGAAATGAATAACTGCTTCCACACATTAGTCTCTCTATGGTTCTAAATAGTTGAATTCTCTGATAAGAGTCGATCATCTATCATGAAAAGAATGTCACAAGGTTTTCAACTGCTAACTATTCCAGACCAAAGATTGGAGTCAAACTTTTATTTTTTGAATGTTTCTTGTTTTTTCCCTATCTTAAAAATGAAACACATGAATCCCAGCACTTGGGAGGCAGAGGCAGGCGGATCTCTGTGAGTTCGAGGCCAGCCTGGTCTACAAGAGCTAGTTCCAGGACAGCCTCCAAAGCCACAGAGAAACCCTGTCTCGAAAAACCAAAAAAAAAAAAAAAAAAAAGAAACACATGTACTATAGAGATTTTAGAAAATACACACAGGAGAATAATGAGGAAAATGACTACATGTAAAATCACCACCTCCCAACATTTTCTACTCACACACATTTGCATTCCCACATACATGTAATGCACATGAAGTCATAAATGCCTCTAAACAGAAGCTATTCTACATCACTAAGCCATGATTTTAATTTGCTACATAGTATACAGTTTATTTAGCCAACCAAGTCTAGGAATGTTTTGAGTTAAAACTGTCAGAAAAACTGAATCCCTGTAGGTAAAGCTGCCTTCTAAATCCACCCTAGAATTTCTATTTGAAAGCACTAGAAACTTCCAAACAAGCATTCAAGAAAATTCATTGAGTTTTAGCCATAGAGGATGCTCACCAAAGACTATATTTTCCCAAACAAAGCTGAAGTTGTATTAATGAATAAGAACTAGTAAGTCTACTGTAAGAATTGATAACCATATGCAATGTTATATATCTTTAATAAAGAAAAATGTTTCTATTAACTTTACAAATACACACATAAAAATGTATCAAGAACTAGGCAGTGTTGGCTCATGCCTTTAATTCCTGCACTCGGGAGGCAGAGGCATGCAGATCTCTGTAGTTTGAGGCCAGCCTGGTCTACAGAGCCACTCCCAGGACAGGCTCCAAAACAATACAGAGAAACCCTGTCTTGAAAAACCAAAAACCAAAAATAACAACAACAAAAAAAAAACCCTCAGTTACTGAAAATCATTTTGTCAAGTCTCAAGTGTTCAGTAAGATCTCACTAGCACTGAGATGTCCAGTGGTTCACAGCTATTTGTTCTTTACTCTAAGACAGAAACTGCTCTGTTAACCAGAAAGAGACGGGACAAAGAAGAAAAGTCATGTACTTAAAGCAGTACCAAGTGCCACACTCCACCTGGTGGCAGAAACTACCCCAGTTGATAAAGTGGAAGCTGCTCTACGAAGTCATCAGAGCACTTTCCAGATGCCCTTGTACAAAACACAAGATGCTCCTCTCTTGCCCTACATAGAGTAACTCTAACAAATTCCACCAAAGAGTTTTCAAATAGTAGGTCAGCATCCAATAAACATTACCATAAAAGTCTGACAACACTTAGAACAAGAGACCTACATAGGGAGGTACCTAATAAGTCAAATGTCAGCTCAAATCTTTAAACAGTTAAGAAGACGCAGCTGCTACAGGACTCCATATCACACACTCCCACTAATTTTCTTTGTCCCTTCGCCTATGGGTAGACTACAGTTTAATTAACACAGTTAACGGCAGCCTGCCACATTGCTCTTAGGTATCTGCCAGTAGCATATACTCATGGGATGCTCTAGAGACTGATTTCAACCAAAAATAAAAATAGATAAACAGCTCAAGCAAAATTAAACTGAGTCTGACTGCCCACACTTATTTTCACACATGAAGAAAAACAGCAGTTCTCTTAGAAGCTTCAAGCACACATATCTTTAGAACACAATGTTAAAAATATGTCCCCGCCTTCCCCTACCTGTTTCTCACTCAAAGCTGTGATTTTGGCTTGGAGTTCATGAAGCTGTTTCTTTAAGTCAGCATTCTGATTGGAAAGAAAAAATATCTGTGAGAAAGATATTCACTTGTTAACATAATAGTATCAGGAAGACTGTGCATATTACAAGTGATGAAGCAAGCTTTAGCTATCAAATTTTCCATGCATTAAATTATAAGTATAACATCAACCCCTAAAACAGGCAGCTTCCTCATAACTGTTTTAAATTATAGGAAATTTTATACATTGTCATCTTGTACTCTAATAGCACCTTTCTCCTAAAATATTATTCTTTATAGAAAGTATCAGTTGACAGAAAATCTAAAGCTCCACTAATCAGACAAAAACAGGAAAATGGAGGTTAAAGTATGCTACCCCACTGCTTAGCGGTATTATCAACAAAAATAAGAAGCTTTTCTCTACTTGTCCTCTCTCTTATTTAGTAAAATACATTTGTTATTTTAGCCTAGATTTGGAAAGCTGTCAGCACTGTAACTGTTTTAACAGCACATCATTCAAATCAACATGCTGAAATTCTAAGAATCGGAAAAAAAGGGTACTGTTTTAGATGAAATACACTTAGCATGCCTGCCTTTTCAGGGGTGGGGGATGGGCTGTTAAAGTTTTCAAATGTTCAACATAGCAGGAAAGCTCAAAGGCACCTCAGCTGACTGACTTGTTTCACACATAGTTCCTCATCTCCCTGCCTGGGCTGTCAGGCACATACTCTCATACTCTTCCTGTACTCAGCTTACCTCATTTGGGATTTTTCGGGTGTACTTGACATAAGGCTTCTCTGCAGGCACATAAACTGTTGTCCAATAAGTTACTGACACTCAGATTTTCCAGGTTAAGAATTTACTGTTATATGATCATGAATTATCAGAACTGCTACCTTCTGAGAATACTTGTTACTGACAGTATAGATCACCACGTTAAATATAAGGACCTAGCATAGCAATCCATTCCCACTTTGTTACCTAAATTCAGTTTAAATTGTAAGCATACTAAATAAAAATTAAAAAGTGATGTTTCTCATGGAAGGTAGATATCAGATAAGAATAAATGTGGCCACAAAGGCTACTTCTCAGAGTCAATGAATTGCATTAAAATACAACAGTCAGACCACTGAGTAACAAGATGAATATTGTACCCAACTTAAAAGAAAATTAATCTGCCTCAGTACCAAGAATTTATTTTACTTTATAGAGAGGCATGTATGACCCACTGTCTAATGGGTACCAAGTAGACACTACCTGAATAAAAAAATATGAATCACTAGAGGGCAAGGTAACTTTGGAGGAAGAATTCTCTATAGAAGAGAATAAAATATCAAGTCAAAAGTCCTATAAAAATTAAGTTTAACATTTTATAAATTATTATATTATGTAAGATACTTCTGAAACTTTCAAGGATTCTTTTAAACATAAAAATTTCAAAGCCAGGTATGGTAGCACATACCTATAACCTCAGCAGGAGGATTAGGAAAACAATGTCATCTTTAGCTACATATGAAACTTGGGACTATCCTGGAACATAAGATCTTGTCCCAAAACAAAATGCAAACTTCAAACACTTTTTATAAATTATTCTAAAGTTTTTATTGTGATGTAATAAATCCAGTATTCAGGTGTCCAGGAGGATTAGGAAAACAATGTCATCTTTAGCTACATATGAAACTTGGAACTATCCTGGAACATAAGATCTTGTCCCAAAACAAAATGCAAACTTCCAACACTTTTTATAAATTATTCTAAAGTTTTTATTGTGATGTAATAAATCCAGTATTCAGGTGTCCTATATGTAAACTCCACACAACTAAAAATGGATTGGGGGTATTTCAATAACTTTTGAAACTTTAAAAGCCTGATTATTTCTGAATATGTGAATTTAATCTAAGCCAGGTATGGGGCACAGCCCCTAATCTCAGTATTTGGAGAGGTCAAGGGAGGACGATGGCAAGTTTGAAGGCAGCCTAGAGTCTCAAAAGTTGTCTGTCCTGGAACTTTCTCTGTAGACCAGGCTGGTCTCAAACTCAGAGATTCACTGCCTCCGACTCCCAAATACTGGGATTAAAGGCCACCACAGCCACTATGACACCGCCCCCCTTCAAAGGTAGTTTTTTAAAGAAAAAAATTTAAACTATATGAAGTCCATTAAACCTCTTTAGAAAAAAACAAATACTCATAGCAATTAACAAAAAACAAAATGACATTAACAAAATTGCTGAAACGACAACAACTTTATATAACTGGATTTTTTAAACCTATAAATATGAATATCAGCATGCGAATATATGTGCTGTTTGGGATGAAACTGTTTTAAATTTAACTAACATCTGCATTTTATTAGTTTATTGTCATTTTCAATTGTTTTTATATTAAAAATTAAGTTAATAACATCAAGATTTTTTTACCTGTGGATCCTGCTTCATTTGAGCAACCAGTTTCTGGTAATAAAGAGAGAAAAAAAAACTGTCAGTCTGGCATACTAACTCATTAGCGTTGCACTCACGCATGCATGCACACACACATACACACACACACACTAAAAATAAATCAGTATCACCATGAAAAAATGGACTAAAAGTTTTGGTGATGTCTGTAAAAGGCTAACGAACCACTCTTTATAATAAAGAATCAACTATCCCTTTATATTTGAAATGAAAAGTACCTGATTTGTCAACGTGGAGGACAGTGACTTCTGCAATTTAAAGAAGCAGGATGCAGACTGGGCACGGTGGTGCATACCTTTAACCCCAGCAAACAAGAGGCAGAGGCAGGCAGATCTCTGTGTGTTCAAGGTCAACCTAGTCTACACCAGAGCCAGAGCTACATAGTGAGACCCTGTCTTAAAACAAGCAAACAAAACAAATAAGCAGGATGCTCCAAATACCCCTTTAGAATACTGTCACCATCCTGATTCACAAATCAGATTTGTAAAGAAGCTACTCATACAAAACAGGGCTGTATGTACACAGCAAAGTACAGGTTTGGCAGGGGCCTCCTGTCAAGTGACTTTGTTCTGTCTGCTCTCAATCACCTGTAACTGCAGCCCCAGAGATTAATCCCTTCCAGGCTCTGTAGGCATCAGGCACACATATGGTGCAAACATACATGCAGACAAAACACTCATACACATCAAAGAATAAATAAATGTCATCTGACCTAGCCCAACAGGTAAAAAACCCAAGGGTAACAACAGCTGTGGACAGACAAATTTAAATGATAAAAGAATATGAATAGGCTGCCTCCTAAAACCCAAGATTGGGTACCTAGGACTAGCTCTTTTCTAAGTGAATTTTTCATATAATAATAGAAAGAGTTGCCACATTCTTCAGGTTTGACAAGGCACTTTTAAAATGTTGTTATTAAAAAATACATAAAATATACAACACACTCATCTACTTTATTAAATAGAAGCCAAGCTCTTACAGTTTGAGGTGTAATAATATGAATCAATTATACAATACTACATAAAAATATGACTTGCAAAAACTCCCAAACTGCAATGTTATAATGAGTTCTTATGCCTTTTAGTTTTTTTAATCTAGTTATTCCACCACGCGATCAGACAGGGTTTCTTTGTGTAGTCCTAGTTATCACAGAACTAGCTATGTAGACCAGGCTGGCCTTGAACTCAGAGAGATCCAACTGCCTCTGCCTCCTGAGTGCATGTGCCACCACCACTGGTTTAGTTCAATTCTTTATTAAATATTTTTATTTAAATTTATTTAATATTTAATTATTTTATTTAAAATATTGTATTAAATAGTTAAAGTAAAATTTATTTTTAGTTTATATATATAAAATTAAACATATAATTTTAAATATTTTATTTGTGCGTATATGTGTACATGTACCATGGTATACATGTGGAGGTCAGAGGATCACTTCCAGATGTTGATTCTCTCTTTCCATCATGTGGATCGCAGGAATTAAAATCAGGTCTTTGGGCTTGATAGCAGGGCCCTCTATCCACTTAGCCACCTTGTGCAACCCTTTAATTCTTCATTGTTAACCAGTCAGCTAACAAATCCTGTTAATATTGTTCCTCTTTCTAAAAGCAATGAACCCAACTCAGCTTCAAATGCTATGTGATAAACACATTAGACTAATTTTAAGGTAAGTGACCAGGTTGCAGTAGCCCAAGAAAATGCTTGGTGAATGACATGACACATATTCTAACTGGACAAAGTCTTTCTTCCTGATACTAAAATATACAAAGTGTACATGATGAAATTCTGTTTCATGTTTGACAAAACTATCTTTTTCAGTAGCCTCATCTAAATCTGGACAGTAATGCATCATTTACAAGCTCAACAGAATGAAATGTATTCATCCTTATAAATCCAACCACTTCTATTTTAAAAGCTGATTTGGGCTGGGAAGATGACTGAGTGGGCAAAGGTTATTTCCACCCAAGACTCACAACCTTAGCTCTATCCCTAGAAACCACCTGGTGGAAGCAGAGAACCTACTCCACACAGTTGCCTTCCACACAGTTGCCTTCTGATGTTTATATGTGTGCTGTGAGACACACACACACACACACACACACACAAAATATAATAATACTTTAAAAATAAAAAATAAGTCGGGCGTTGTTGGTGCACACCTTTAATCCCAGCACTTGGGAGGCAGAGGCAGGTGGATCTCTGTGAGTTCGAGGCCAGCCTGGTCTACAAGAGCTAGTTCCAGGACAGCCTCCAAAGCCACAGAGAAACCCTGTCTCGAAAAATAATAATAATAATAATAAAGAAGTCTGAATGTCATTTTTATGTGGTTATTGCAGAAGTGGCTATTAACTGTAGAGCTATTTTTGAGGATGAAAGAGCTTTTCTTCCAAACACAGAATTTTTTAAATTGTTATCTATTTATTTAATGTATATAAGTTTTGTGCTTGCATATAAGTATGTGCATGATATTCTGCTATGAGCCACTATGTGGGTGCTAGGAATCAAACCTGCAAAAGCAACAAGTGTTCTTAACCTCTAAGCAATTGATGTAGCCTATGGCACTAGAATTTTAAAGCTGACTATAAGATCCACCTCTGGAGAAAATAAATAAATCAGCTTTTCTATGTATAAGCAGTTAAACCACATCTATACAGACAAGACGAGGAACTTACTAGACCACCCATATCCCAGGTGACTTTAAGTTGGAACTGTGTTATCAGTTATTTTCCACTGAATGACTAATGCCATCTACATTATGTCAAAAATAAGAAAGCAACATCCAAGCAGGCAAATCCAGACCACCACATTTCCTAAATGAAGTCTTATGAAACTGAGCCACGCCTTTTTGTTTGTACACTCTCTGTGGCTAATCTGTCGGCTCAACAGCACAGCAGAGCAGTGACACAGATTATAAATGACCTGCAGTCTAAAATACTTTACCATCTGGCCCTTTACAGAGAAAGTTTGCTAACTTCTGCTTGTTTTATACTAGTCTGCATCCCATATGGAGTTACTACCCTGAAACAGACTCCAACACACACACACAACCACAATCAAATGCTGGTGCGCCGCCCCGGCCCCCATGGCTGCTAACACTGAAGTATTTACTGACCGTAAACTATGTACACATTGGTGCATCTGCCTACACATGCAGAAACATAAGGAAATCAAACTCTCACCACAGCAACACTAGGCAACTTCTTAACACAGATTTTACCCTGGAAGCTTGACTTTTACCTAATTTCATTCCCTAACTAAAATGCATCAAAGGTTGGTTTTTGCCTTAATATTTAGTTAAAAGTCCATTCTTGCTTTGGCTTCCATCTAATACCCAAGTCTCATGCTCTGGCATCATTTCTGGCCATCCTGAATATATCATGTTCAAGAACTACATGCATCATTGTCCTACAACTGATCAGAACAGGACCAGTTTTCAGAACAAATACTATCATTTGGATTTACTGATTTTTTTCATAAACAGTAAAGTAGGGTACTAAAAAGACGGCTCAGTCTTGAGTCTGGATCCCTGATATCCATGAAAAAAAGGCCAGGTGTGTGGAGGTGTACCTGTAACCCTAAAGTTAAGACACACAGACAGGGGATCCGGGGACCTCACTGGTCACCCAGTCTAACCAATCAGTGAACTTCAGGTTTTGTGAGAGACCCTGTCTCAAAAGAAAAGTTGGACAGTGATAGAGAAAAATATCCAATGACACCCTTGCCTTGTGTGGAAACACACATGCACACACTCATGCATACCCCCACATACATACATACCAAAACAATCTTGGAATTCCATAAAGGTGAAGAGAACCAACTCCACAAAATTGTCTCTGTCTCCCACACAAGCACCATGGCATGGATGCCCACAAACACGTATCATGCATGCACTCACACACACAATGATGAATAATTTAAAATATATTAATTGGTATGTAAATTGTACAGATAAAATATACAATAATTAAAGGTGAAAGTAAGACTATAATTTGAGATGACTTAGCAGCTAAGATCATTTGATACTCTTGCAGAGAACCCAGGTTTGTCTATCAACACCCACATTGGGTGGCTCATAACTGCCTGTAACTTCAGTTTCATGGACTCTGACACCATGGTCTAAACTAGTAGAGCACCGCATGCACAAAGTGCATGTAACATATACTCAAGTACACACATATATACATAAATAAAAATATTTAGCTTAAAGGCTATAACTTTATACCTAAAACAAATAGGTAAATAAATAAACAGATGGACAGCTAATATTCAGAGTGTTTAAGTGTTTAAAATAACTGCATAACAGCTATGGTTGTCCTGGAACTCACTCTGTAGACCAGGCTGGCCTCAAACTCACAGAGATCTGCTGCTAGGATTAAAGGTGTGTGCCACTATCACCTAGCTATTTTATTATTTTTATTGAGAGTGTGTATGAGGAAGAAATAGAAAGGAAGCACACATGTGCACCCACATGTGGAGGTCACAGAACAATTTTCAGGACTCAGTTCTCCTTCTACTATGTAGATTCGAGGGACCAAACTCATATTGTAAAGCTTGGCAGTAAGCATCTGTTCCCAATAAACCACCTTGCTGATCCTAATTATAAATTCTTAATTGGACTTTAAAACATTATCATGAAGACTAAATTTTTCGAAACTGTTATGTTTATTTAAGGAGTACACCTGATTTCAAATTATGAAATAAGATAATACTTAAAAAGTTCAACTTAGGGGCTGGAGAGTTGGCTTAGAAGTTAAGAGCATTGTCTGCTCTTCCAGAGGTCCTGAGTTCAATTCCTAGCAACTACATGGAGGCTCACAATCATCTATAACATGCTCTGATGCCCTCTTCTGGTGTGCAGGCAAACATGCTGACAGAACACTGTATACATAATAAATAAATATTTTTAAGTTCAATTTATAAACAATTCTTTCAAGAAATATTTATCTGGGACACGTATTTTATGACGAGGTTTTAAAAGAATGTAAACTGTATTCTAAAATATCTTAAGAGGAGAAAAAATTATCTTTGATTCACACAGATTTCAAATTGTTATTGTATTCCCAAAATCTACTAGTGACAACAGTTTTAAACAATTATGAATTTAAGTTTTGTTACTTGCCACTGACCTGAAATGGGTTCAATATTCCTCTATGTTATAATATTTTCATACAGGGGCTGAGAGATGACTCAGTAGTTAAGAACTGAGTTCAATTCCCATCACCCACATATAACTCTGTAACTCTGGCTCCAGAGGTTCTGATACTCTCCCCGGCTTCCGCAGACACCAGGCACACATGTGGTGCACATATATGCCATAAACATGAAAGAATAATTTTAAAAATAATTTTGGTCCAAAATAATTTGGTTTTATGAATAAATTTTTACTATCCTCAATAAAGACAAAAAGCAAGGCTAATAAAACAAGATGTGCATACCTTATTGTTTAGTAAAAGAAGCAAACCCTACAGGGCAACTACTGAGCAAAGGATCCACAAGGTCCAGAGCAGCAGCAGGGACTTCCAAACAAAGAGCTTCCATAGGGAAAACAACAAAAGCACACACAGCACATAACTTTGAAGCTTTCCTGTCAGTTCTAATCCACATTAATTCTGGGACAATAGAAAAACCCAAGTCAAAAAGTCCAATATATATCCCAACAATTTCAGAAATCAATCTGTACTAGCCCACACAAGATAAAAACAAGAGAAATTGCCAGGTGTTGGTGGAGCACTCCTTTAATCCCAGCACTTGGGAGGCAGAGGTAGGCAGATCTCTGTGAGTTCGAGGCCAGCCTGGTCTACAGAGTGAGTTACAGGACAACCTCCAAAGCAATACAGAGAAACACTGTCTTAAAAAACAAAACAAAACAAACAAACAAAAAAAAAACAAGAGAAATTATACCAAAAACAAACACTTTAAAAAGCAATGTGTGGTGGCTCAAACTTGTAAATCCCAGTGCTTAAGTTGAAACAGGAAGACTGACAGTTTGAAGTGATATCCTAAAACTAAAGTATATATATTCTAACTGGAAATACAGCTCATGGTAGAACAGTCACTGCCATCTGCAAAGACCTGAGTTCAACCCAAAATGATCCAACCATCCCATCCCCACTTTCACAAATGTTATATGATTGAAAGTAGCCAGATCATCATTTATCTGTGGTGACATATTATTTATGATTTTAAAGCTTGCCTGAGGATTCAGAAAGCCAAGTCAGCCACAAGCCATAGAAACCAGGCACACACCTTTAATCCCAGCAGCCAGAAACTAGATGGTGGTACACACCTTTAATCCTAGGGCTCAGGATTAAGAGGTAGACAGAGATCTCTGAGTCCAAGGCCACCCAGGTGTACACAAGACTGATCCAGTCCTAAAGAGAAACAGCTCACACAAAAATGATCTCAGCACCTGGGATCACATGCCTTTAAACCAGCACTAGGGAGGTATATAAGACTGGAGCTAGGTCTGAGTCTTGGGATTCTCCAGCCATGCTTAGGAGAGGCAGCAGTCTGAGGTTTGGCGGAGCCAGGATCACCTTTCAGTCTGAGGTAAAGTGAGAGGTAGGGCCCAGCTGCTTTGCTTTTCTGATCTTCAGCTTGAAGTTTGAACTCCAATATCTGTCTCTGGATTTTTTTTCCTGTTACATTGATCACTTTTGAATACCAAAGATTATGTACATGTATGTTTATTTGTGTTCCTCAAGCCCAATGACCAGCTGATGTCTAAAAAATGAAACAGTGATAGTCTGTTTGTACAATAAATGTTAATGATTTAATTATTTTTCTGTCTGGATTATAATGTTTGTTTATATATTTCCATGTCAACATATACAAATTAAAATATATATATTAAGTGTTTTATTAACATTACCATACTATAGAAACAAGTGTATAAAATTAATATAAAATTTATATATACATTTTCTAGTTATATACCTTAAAGGTTTGTTTACTTTAATCCGAAGATACAAGTGTAAGGATTACAGACAGCATTTTAAATATTGATGACAGCAACCAGATTTTCTTTCCCAAAGATTGGAGTCATCAAAAAAGGAATAAAAAAGGCTGTGACGAGGCACAGGGATGAGTCCCAGATGAGCACAGGTGTTAGCATGTGTAGTAAGTCTGTACACCTGACTTAAATGCATCTCATTTGTACGAAGGTGGAATGAGGAAAGTGAGCCCTGGGGAAGCACAGTGTCAGGGTCAATGGAGTTTACATGGGGAGCTCTGAGCCAACCAATGATCTAGTGAGGCCTTATTTTTTCCAAATACCTTTAGGATATGAAAAAAAATATTTCCAGTTCTTTTTTTCTGGAAAAGATGTCAGGGGTATCTTATTAAAGTTCTTAAAAGAGATAGGAGTGAGTTTGTGGAGCAGTGACTGTGGGCAAATGCCATGGCCATTGGGTAAGTCTTAGAATGATTGTATAACTTGACCAAACCACAGAGCTGGGCCTGTTTCCTTAGCAACACAGTATATATGGACAGTCAATCACACAACATACCTGGTGAACCTGAATTTCCACTTTAAGAGCCTCCTGTAGAGTCTGCAACTCCATCCTCTACCTTCTCCACTTTCTCTTATGTCTGCTAATTCTACAGTGTCTTCAGCCTCCGTTTAAAATAACAAGCTCCTCTTGTTGCTGCAGCTGTAGAGATCATAAAATGTTTTGGATCATTGTTCTGGGAATGAAGAAAATTTTTGTCAAAATAATTAAATTAAAAATATTATATTTTGTAACACAAGGAAGAAAGAATCCCCCAAAAGACTTTAAAAAAACAATTCAGTACCAAAACTTTCTGGGTTTTCTTCTTTTGAGCATTCCTCTATAGAACACTTCAAATAACAGAAGTGAAATACAACAGCAAAAGTGATGGTCAAGAAAACACACTAACACCACTGTGTGCTCAGCACTGAGGGCAGGGAGCTGAAAGACCACTTTCACCTAGACGAGAGCCACCAGGAGAGGCTGCCATCACTCAGAACACACACAACAGGAGCTGGAGGGACTTCATGGGTAGAACTTGAGATAGTCTAACATGGGCACGTTTCTAGATTTGTAATGCCCATCGTCCCCTTTTCAAACTTGCCAGTGCATTTCTCTGACCACATGTGTAACTGTATGTGGAGAAGTTGTCTGGATTATGACTGAAAATGGGATGCCTGTCTCACCCTCCTGTCCCACACCATCACAACTGCAGCTTAACCAAATGGCCAATTTCTCTTTACTCTTTGTTTCCCCTTTTCTTAAATATGACCATGATTTGGGGTGTTCTATCAAAGCAAAAGTGATTTTTGTCTGAATAAATTTAAACTTTATTAAAATCTTTTTTCTCTTAGACCTATAAAAACTATGGCTGGTGCTGCTTTTTGGCACTGAGGAAGGAAACTTGTACCTGACAACAATAAGATGAGACTCATGGCCACCAGGCTCTCTAGCAACCATTTACCTACTGGCAGTCCTCATCAGCCTGAGTTTCTCAAACTCTTTTGTAAAACTGAGTTCATAGGACTATGATGAAATCATAAACTATAAAATATATCCTTAGGATTTCTAGTTTCCATTATATTTACTTCTTTGGACTTAAAACATCAATGACAGTCTCTCCTCAGGGTTTATATACTATGTTATTTAAAATCAGAATATTCTAACCTAAAACAGATTAAATTCTCAAAGGACAAAATTCTTTCAAAATTACATCTCTAGAAGCTGGCAAAGATTTACTGTTAACCGAAAAAAAATTCATACAGGCAGGATATTTAGGGGAAATAATTTTTTTTGAAAATTAATAATTTTATTCCTCAGCCCCATAGCGTTTCCCATCCACAATAGCCAGTATCTTAAAGAGTTAGGATAAAGTGATGGGTGCTACTAAAAAAACAAGATGCACAAAGAATTAAAAAAAGGTGGCTAAAGTACATACAGAGAAAATTTTAATGATATCTACACTAAAATTTCACACAAATAGGGGAAATAATTTTTAAAAGGAAACGTATCATGACTTTCAGCTACCTACTATCCTAAAAACAGTTTAGATTTATAATAAATACCAGAATCATTAGTAAATCGTGTAGAACAAGACTTCTGTGGTCATTTACACTTTCTCTATTTGCAAATACTAATTTGAAAACTATATCAGCTACTTCAATTTTAAATGCTAAAATAATCTCCCTTCTCAAACTCTTAATATATACATGACAGTTCTGTTTTACGTTTCACTGTGTAGACTTGCCTTAAACTTCCTGCGGAGCCCAGCCTGGCCTTGAACTCATAATCCTCCTATCGTGGCCTCGAGTGCAAGGACTATAAATGTACTCTACCACACCCAGTTTCTATTATAGTTCTAAAACAAACAAACAAAAACAAAAACAAAAACGCATGATCTTAATTTTTGCAAAGTACTACCAGGAAATGTGCCAAAAAAATTTCCTAAAAGTCTTTTTTTTACATTAAGGATAACCCACTGCAAGAGTATGTTCTTTTATTCCACTGTTGTCAACACATGCCACCACAGGTCAGCTAAACTCATTCTGAAAACAAGCAGATCACAGACACAGAGAACTTAAAACACCACAAAAGGTTAGCATTGTCTATACAGTCAGGGCTTTCACACATTAATTAGCAAAAATGTACAAAAAAGCAATTCTCACAAGGAAAAAGAATGACCAGTAAAAAGTGTGAATTTAGTCAAAGTATTTGACACATGTGAGTGAAAATACTCACAAGAATTTTAATGACTGACCAATGACTATGAAAACACCAATCTGGACTAATGACAGAAACAAATGCAGGAAGAAAGGTTTTTGCCTATTGTGCTAAAGATACATAATAACAAACTCTAAACTGCCTAGGGTGGGTCTGATGCGCTTCATAATCTGTTGAAAGCCATCTCTAGGTGAAAGTACTAAAGGCTACTTAACTTTCTTCTTTGAGGGAGTATCAATATTCTCAAACTTTTCCATAGACAATGCATATCTCCTTTCAAGGAAAAAAAATGAGAATAAAGCATCAGAAACATTTATAACATACAAAAAAAAAAAAAAAACCACACACACACACAGAACAAATACCTCAAAAAGGAAAAAAGTAACTGAGTATGATGGCATACTCCTGGGATTCTAGCACTCAAGAAGTAGACACAGGAGTTCAAGGCCAACCTCTGAGCTATTCAATGGGTTTGAGACCAACCTAGGCTACATGATACCCTGTCTCAAAGAAAGAAAAAGGAGGGTGGAGGGAAGGCGAGCAGAGAGTAAGGAGGGAAGAGTAAAAACAAGGTTTTGACCTGGAGACTCTAAATGTCAAAGAGTGCCTTGTAAAACAAGCCTGCCAGTCAAGCTAACGAGCAGCTGACAGCTTTACTTCCTCCATCAGGTTGCTGTCTGCTTATTAGAGATATACAAAGGCATTTCAATGCCAATTACCCATTTTGTGTTAGAAAAAGACTGAAGGGTTAAAAGAGATCATGACTGGTGACAGAGAATCTCATGAGGGACTAGAAATGATTTTGAAATCTTTCATCGGAAACTCTCTTTCTGAACAGTTGTTTTAAGAGATTAGTCTATACAATTAAAATACATAAAGTTATAATTTATAAACTCAAACCACACATGTTGGAGCCTTTTTTATTTTTTTTATTTTTTTTGGTTTTACGAGACAGGGTTTCTCTGTATTGTTTTGGAGGCTATCGGTCCAGCACAGCCTCGAACTCACAGAGATCCGCCTACCTCTGCCTCCCAAGTGCTGGGATTAAAGGCATGCGCCACCACCGCCCGGGCATGTTGGAGCCTTTAAAAAGCATTGGGATCTTAGAAAATGCAGTTCAGGTGAACAATATTTCGAGCAGTCTGCAGCTTCACCAAAAGGAGTTACTTTTTAAAATAACATTTATTTATTGGGTGGGGGCAAACATGCCATGGAATGTATGTGGAGGTCAGAGGACAATTTGAAGGAATTGGTTCTTTCCTTCCACCAGGTTTGGGGATCAAACAGGTCCTCGGGCATGGTGACAAGTGCCTTTACCTGCTGAGTCACCTTATCAGTCCCCAAAACTAGTAACTTCTAAATGTACAAAAGATAATTTATTATATTTACCCAATAAGGTGAGACAGAGAGTAAAACAAATCAGTTACTGAAAAATGACTATAAACAGACAAGACAGTAACAGACACTTTCTACCCAATATCTCTACATACCACCATCACTGAGAGCATCTGCCTAGCACACCATGCCAATCTTCTACCTTTCCAACACTACACATTAAACCACAAGGCAACCTAAGGCTCTCAAGCAACAAAACAAAACAAAGCAGAAAACAGCCAGATACCAGAGTACACATCTGTAATCATAACACTTGGGAGGTGGAGGCAGAAGGATCAGGAGATCAAGGCCATCCTTAGCTACATAGTGAGTTCAAAGCCAACCTGGGCTTTAAGAGAGGCATTGTCTCAAACACAGATATACACACACACACACACACACACACACACACACACACACACACACACACACAACCAAACATATAACAAACTAAACGAAACAATAATCAGGTTTCAACCCCCCCCCCCAAAAAAAACAGCTGGATGATGAAGAAAGAACATTTACTGCCTCTCACAACCCCCGCCCCCCCCCACACACACCATTCATTGTGTAGCCAATTTTATCCTCTGGAAAAATGGGCTTATGTTACCTATATCAGGACTGTTATAAGTTTAAATCAAGTTAAGGTCTTAGAAAAGCCTTTTGCAAACCATCAAATTTGGGGTTACTGACATATTTCTTCATGCTTAAACTTTGAAGAAAAACTTCTCAAATTCTCAGGTTGGAGAGTTAGCTTGGCTCTGTGGCTAAGGTTACTTGTTCTTGCAAAGGACCCAGGTTTGATTCCCAGCACCCACATGGAGGCTCACCACCTCCTCAGTCACCAAGAACTCATTTGGTGCAAAGATGTACTTGCAAGCACAACACTTGCACATCCAAAATAATAAAAATTAATCTGAAAATAAAATGTAAAAAGCCCAAATCTTCTAAGAATGAGACTGCTATTACTCTGAACAGTCTCCAAGAAGGCACACAGCCTCGGGGTCTTCTGCCAGGAAGGCACCCGGTTTCAGGGATCTTCTACCATGAAGACACACAGACTTGAGGTCTGTCTTCTATGCACATGGACTCAGGGTCTTCTGTGGTGAAGACCTTGGTGTCTTCCTTGGTGAGGGCACACAGTCTCGGGGTCTTTTGCTATGACTCTTTGTAGGGAAGCTCTAACCCCTTTTTTATTGCTAGGAAATACTTCGCTGCAAAAATGACAAGAATTCTTTTCCTGTCCAAATCTTCTAGGCTAACCAAGAGTTACTTAGTAAACTCACAGCATGGTGTGCTCTGAACCTGTCCCTAAAAAGAGCTCTGTGCTCTCTACACATGCATTTCTTGTGTATTCAAGTGTCTGTTTCTGCTCCACATTTACAGATGTTGAAAGGATTACTATTTTAATAGGAAAATCTAACTTTTCCTTATTATTCTGCAAATTTTTATTACAACCTTATTTGTTTTCAGGGCAGTATTTCTTTGGTGACACTCCACAAATCAAAAATAAAGCTTGACAACCCTGACTTTGGAGGCTGTCAACTCTTAGACTCTGGCTAGTCTATATGATCAGTTCCTGGAATGACAGCTATGGACAAAGGCATCATAACAAGCTGAGTGTTTCCAAACCATTAAATAGTTACTGTTGTTTACTAATTAAGAAAGGTTTCTTGTGTTAAATTTCTGTTTGTCTGGGTTTACAAGGAAGGGAACATGTGGTTCCTTTTTCTAAAGACTATGTATATATTGAGCTCACAGCACTACAGCCCAATGACTCTTGTGAATTCTGGGTCAGCCTAGGAATTCCCACAATATTCTACTCAGAGGCTGTATCTCTTCCCCACCATTAGGCTCAACCCAGTATACAGGTCAAACTCAGCTTCTGGGATACAGTTGCCTGCACACTCACATTCTTCTATCTCCTATCTTTCTGTAGAGAAAGGAAGCATGCCTATTAAAATCTCAACCATACCAATAATGGGGGAAACACTGAAGTAAAATTTAGAGTTTACAGAAGCTCGAAATGAAGGTTGGAGAGTTGTGCACAAAAGCATAGTGATGAAGTGTCTAAGGTTTTAGAACTGGTTGCCACATTTACTGAAAAGTCATTGAATGAGGGTGGGGAGCTATTCAGGCAAGCCTGGCCAGAAGCTTATAAATATACACCACAAAACCGGTAACACAGGAAGGTGTAGTGGTCCCAGCATAAACAATCAATATCATACTTAGTAGAAGTAAAGCCATGGAAGATAAATTTCAGATCAATATAAAGAAGAACTAAGGATTAGAGCTGTACAAAAAAGGAATGGGTTACCTTATGAGGTAGTGGGCTCCCTGTCATTAGAAGGATTCAAGAATGCTGCATATCATATCCCCATCTTGGAGATTCACAATGCACATTAGCATATTAAAGGTTCTGAGAAGTCCTGTAGTAAAGAAACCTGTTTAACTTAGTTTAATGCAGCATTTCCCAAATTATTTGACCACAGAACCCTTTTCCCACCCTAGCCCCAACCTCAGAAATCTTTCTTCCATTTCTGTAGAACTGGAGTTTCTCAAAACACATTCATTACAGAAAACAAAGGCCTACATTTTTTGAAAATGCAGTATTCAATGTGCACCAAAGTAAAAACCTGTCAAAGATGTAAGCAAAAAAATTGCTACATAAAACAGATACCATGGTTCTATAACACCATGAGGTAAAGGGTCTTGATTATTGCTTTACAAGTCCCCATGAGGGAAAGGCAATAGAATTAAATGGCAGCAAAATCCAAGGTTCAGTGGTTCAAGAGACTCCCTCTGATATTCAAATCCCAGTTTCAAAACCCAGAGAGATATTAGAAGGACCACAAAACCAAAAATCTGCTGGGCATGACGATGGTGCATGTCTTTAATCCCAGCACTCAGCAGGCAGATCTGTGTATTCAAGGACAGTCTAGTCTATATATCCAGTTCCAGGCCAGCCAATGTTACATAGAGTGAGACCCTGTCTCATAAAACCAAAACCAAACATCTGCTCTAACTATTCTACACACTAAGCTAATTACTATTTGAGGGACAGGTTTGTTTGGTTTTTTTTAAAGCAGTCTTACATTAGAGGATTATACAATTATAAATTGATTTTTTTTTCAAAGCACATACTCTCCAAATAAAGTTAGTATCAGTCAGATGCTTGGTACATCAGTTCACCCAGTGCAATCTAGGATCCTGAATTAAGACATTCAAAAACTGAATAAGTATGATAAGTTATAAGCTGTTTAAAAGTCTATGAAAGTAGCTATTAAGAAAAATGTGTTTGCCCCCTCTCTCTTCTTTTAAAAATTATACAAAACAATACACACTAAAAAAACTTGAAGTCAATCTAATGTCAAGTGTTAAGAATACAGATTTCAAGAGGCTCCAACTTCAATAGCTACAGTAGTAACCTGGTCAGTCTATACATGGGGATAGGGAGCTCAAATGTAACACCACAGTAATACAGAACACAATGGGAACACGAACTTGTCTTTCCTGACTTTGAGTTCTCAGGCCTAACTACTGCATTAAGGGCATTTTGGCAACAGGACCTCCAAGTTTTAATGAGTTATCAAATAAAGAAACATGCAAGTCTAGTGCAGTTATCAGAAAGAAACACAAATGCATTTCAAATACAGCTATGTGAAGCTAAAATTTTTCTTTTAGTGCAAACAACAAAGCCTTGTTTTGGAGAGAAAAAAAATCACTTACAGTATCGATTAATATTTGAATGAGCTCAGTTAGAATCAGGCACACTATGCTTGCTTAGTAAAAGTACTTACCAATTTTGGGGAAACTGGCTCTCCTTCAGCTCTCTAATCCCCTGTAACAGAAGGAAAGACAGAGTTAAACTACAAACAGATTTATGATGTCATCGACAGCTAAAGACTCAGAAATTTCTGACTTTGAAGGAGAAAAAAAATACCAATTTCTAAAATTTAAAACCCAGCAGTAAACAAGGAAGAAATGAGTAGTTTTCACAGCAAAGAAGGGACTCTAGAACAGTTAAGCATCTGCTTTAACACAAGTTTTTCAAGATCAGGAAAATAAATACAGATGACCCTTGAACAATGGGGAGAGCATTACTAAGGGCACAGACATTCTGAGTAAAAATTAGAGCACAAATTTTGGTTCCTTGAAAACTTAACTACTAACATTAATGCCTTAACAATGAAACTAACAGCCATCAACTGATATTCTGTGCTTTTCGGGTAACATACAAAAACACAGTGAAAAGTAAGTGATAACCACAGATGACCCACCCACACAGAGACCAGCAGACTGCCACATTTTCCACAGATACTTACACACCTGAGCTCAGGACCACACTTGGAAAGCAACAGGAGGGATTATGAGTTAGTCCAACCATGCAGTGTTACCAGCCAACTTTATGTAGTTGTGATCTGACACTTAGGCTTATTTGCACTGCTCTCAGCTGTAAATACATGTGCACTTATGTGTACATTTTGTAGACTGATAGAACACCTAGTGATATGTATTTTATTTCTTCAAATGGCTCCACTGAACTCTCTTTACAATAAAGTATAACAAATACTGTAAGTCCTTAGTTTGGTCCACTTAAAAGTCTTTTTGTAATAAACCTTAAAATGGATTTGCTTCATGCAAAGCTTTAAATTCACAATGTTCTATAATGAATAATTATAAAATAAGTATGCAGTAAAGTAAGTATAAATAATATAATCAGAATTTTAATTAAATATTCATCCATATTCTTATATTTATATTACTGCTTGGGAATGTAAGTCACAAACACACAATGGTTCATCTCTTCCACATTCACAACCAGTGATAAAGCCAGAAAGAAAATCACAGTTTTAGAATCCTGACCTAATATTAGGGTATTAAAGTTAAAATAGAGCCCTTAACATTTTGAGCACTAAATTATACTCCATGACATGCTCTATCTTTATTATACCTAAAATATGCTTGCTGACCTATGCTATTCCAATAGTGTCTTGTTTCCTTGGGGTTTTTCAAAGATCCTGTCACCCAGATGAGAAATTTTTGTTAACCATGTACAGTCATGTTAAGCATATAGTAAAGTTATTTAAAAGGTCCCTGATTCATGCAGTCTACATTTACTTCCAAAAGAAATTAACCTTTTTTCCATCTTCTTCCTCTTTTTGGGGGGGGGGGTGCTATTGTTGTTTGTTTTGTTTGTTTGTGTTTTTTAAAACAAAGTCTCTCTACATATCCCTGGCTGTCCTGAAACTCACTCTGTAGACCAGATTAGCCTCAAACTCTCAGACATCCACCTGTGTCTGCTTCCTGAGTACTGAGATTAAAAGTGTGCACCAACATGCCCAGTTCAACCTTTTACTCTGATTACAGTTCTTTGCAAAGTTCTCAGGAGTCCATCTAAATAGCTATTTTAATCATAGGGATTAGACTGGATTCCCAACCACAAGAAAAAGCATACAATAAATCTGTAGAATAATGCAGTTACTAAAAACTAGATTCTACGTGTCCTCTTGCTTCATATGACTCTCTCTCTGCCAAGGATGGGAAGCTTCTGAGTCACAGCTGACCCCTACTAACTGGATTTAGGGTCAACAGGTGCAATTTATAGAAACAGCTTCATTATCTGCAGATATTCTGAGTCTCTTCAAGTTGTTTTTCATGCATATCCCACATGCAAGGTAAATTCTCAAAAGCCAATTCCAAGAGTGCTGAGATTCTTTTTAGAGAAGGAATATTAGTAAAGTCTCATAGAAATTATACTCATTACTAGGTGTGGTAGCGCATACATGTCTTTAATCCTAGCACTCAGAAGATAGAGGCAGGCAGATCTCCGAGTTCGTGGCCAGTCTGGTCTACAGAGTGAGTTCTAGGACAGCTACAGTGGTTACACAGAGAAGCCCTGTCTCAAAAAACAAAAAACAAAAACAAAAAAAAAATAAGAAAGGAAAAAAGAAATTATACTCATTTATGACAGGATTTAAACTCTTAAGACACATTTTTTTTCTCATGCTTTTTTTGTTGTGTTCTTTAACAGGCTTTTAAATACTTTTATCCTCTAAATCCTACATTGTCTCCGTGGTCTTCAACAACTAAAAGCCATTTTGATAACCACTCTTTTTTTATTTTTTTAATAAAATTTTTTCAACGCGGTAGTGGCACACACCTTTAATCCCAACACTAGGGAAGAAGAGGCAGGTGGATCTCTGTGAGTTCAAGGCCAGCCTGGTCTTCACAAAGAGTTCTAGGACAGCCTCCAAAGCCACAGAGAAACTTTGTCTTGAAAAACAAAAAATAAATAAATAAATAAAATTTCTTCAACTTTCTGACCCAATGATAGTTAACTTTTGTGATCACTGCCTCTCAGCTTCTAAAATCCTTTCAAATAAAATATAGTTATGCACCACAAAAAAAAAAGCAGATTCTCATTATTTTAGTTACTATAGCGAAGAGTCCATAGTACCACTCAAAAATACCTAAAACAGTGCCAGGCGTATAGTGAGCACTCAATAAATGGTCACATCAACAGATAGGTTGAATGGACACAAACTGTTGCAGGCTCACCTCAGTTCCCCAGTTCCCCAACTTTCTTGTTAAAAACTCTTTATACAACCGTCTCCCACTGTATTGACTAGTTAGATGAACGAGTTTCTAAAACTGTTTTTATCTACACTAGTCACCAGGAAGTAAGACAATACCATTTTAAAATATAGTGAAAAAACAAAGACTGACAAATTGGACTAAACTAAAAGAACTTGAATTCATTTGAAACAAAAATGAAACACCATGTAAAGGCCAGCAAGATAGCTCAGTTGGTCAAAGTCAAGTCTGATAACCTTAGTTTGATTCCCCAGGACTAAGACTGTGGAAGCAACATCTGGAAACTCACATTGTGGATAATTCCTGCAAATCTTCCTCTGGCATGCATGTTGACACACATACATACATAAATAAATGTAAGAAATTGTTCAAAGGGTGACTGAAAAGGTAAGCTGAAGAATTGAGAGATAATTGATATATTTAATAAAAAATACATATACCAGGGTATATAAAATCCATTGATACTGAAACATGATCAGGACAGGATGGGATTTAACTTGTATTTAATACAGCATCGAGAAAAGTGTAATGGTATAAACTCTTCTGAGAAGTCAGCAGAAAGTCAGTACAATATACGCATGTATATATATTGCCCAGGCATTTTCTCCAAAATTCAGTGGCAGATCCAATCCTAAACTAATAAAGTTAAAATCATGAAGCCATAAGATCATGAAACTGATTATAAATTGCTTATAAGGAATACAGCAGTCACACAGGAAAGCAAAGCCTGAGAGACATTTCTCAAAGGGCACTCAGCGGTTGGTGGTTAAGGAGAAAAGAATTCTCAGGTCTGGGGCCCTAGTAACTGAGTGTACTCCTCCACCAGACATCACTTGTTCTGCAGCAGCATGAACTGCATTGCTCTTCCAAGAAATGAGCAAAAATAAACATGAGAAATTGCTTCAGCAAAGGTTTAGAGAAAAAATTACATGTAAGCTACTTAAGACAAGTTTTAGAATTCAATATCCTTTATGCTTAAGGATACCCACAAGTGGGCTTCAGAGGGTTACCACCTACAACAGACAGGAGATTCTGTATGCATGAGCAGAGATATAGCTTCAGGAAGTGGGTCCACAGCATCAATCAGACCCTCAAGGAGACTCAGACACCCAAGAAGAGCAAATACTTTCAGAAGAACATCTTAAAGCGTGCCCATCAACACTTCAAGAGTTTCTTCTGAAGAATGATTGTTAAACTGACTACCACATGGAAAATAGCCAAAAAAGAAACGAAAAGCAAATATTGCTTTTCTATAATTCAGTATTGCTGAACAGCAAAATGCAAGACTGACTGAGATGTAAGTCTTCACTTTTTGGCCTATCCATGTGCAGAATATACCCAAGTCTGAAGTTTTATTTCCTCATCTCAGGTTGATAAGGGTCTAACTGTTTCTCACTACCTTTCATACTTGTGAGGTCTTTCAAAACTTTAATTAAATCTGCTTAAATATTTTAAATATGGATTTCTTCTTGGAAAATACACTCAAGAGCTGGACATGGCATTCAAAATACCCAAGTTAGAGTAAATACATTATTTTTTGCTTTTAGAGATGAGTATCATTTTGCTAACATAACTTTATACAATTTTTTTAAAAAACTCTAGAGAACTTCACAGGTAGCTACTTTAATTAGAACAGGCAAAGAAACAAGTCATTCAGCTTTCTGGTATAGTTATGAAATTTAAAACATTATCAACATGTCAAAGATGATTAATAGCCACTTCTTAAGTACCTTTTGTAAAGCACCTAAGAACTTTACATCTACATTAAACAATAAACAAATTTTACAGAGAAAATTTAACACTAGATCACATTTTTAATTTGGCTAAAATTTAATATGCCCGCTACAAATTTCCAACAATTAAGTTTATAGTCTGTGCTCAATCATAAATTTTGATCAGGGACTAGAATAGCACAGATAATTGTTGTTCAAAAATACTTTGAAATATCACCTCACCTACAAGATTCAGTCTCTCCTCTTCCCTCACTATACCTGACAGTCTTCCAATAACTAAGTTGTAGATACAAGTTTAAGATTCATAGCTTTCTGTCTGCCCTTCCTAACTTCCAACAGAAAGTACACTAAGTGTGAAATAAATGTAAACACAGACAAATGATTAGAAAGTAAGTCCTATAGACCCCCTTGCTCTGTGTCCATTCCTCAACACTTGACACAGAGGTATCTTAAGCTCTCACAGGCACAAAATTAAGCTCCTGACTCCCTAGCCTCCAGCCTCCTCCTCAGC